ATGTTCATAAAAAATAGGGGATAATAATTGAGAACATGAGAACTTTATTTTCAAGGCAGTAGTTGACTTAACTGATAGTTCGGTAACGAAGATCAATGCTGTGACGATTACTCCGATCCGCAATTCAAAAACCCAGTAAAATTTTACTGACTTCGATAATCTGGACTAAGTGTGTAAACAGTATGTATAACACATATTCGTTTATAATTACAGGAAAATCTATCAAAGTTGATGTAAGGGGGCTTATTTGGGTAGGAAGACTGTAGCCTGTTCGTTGCTAGTCTATAACGAAATTTTATCATACTGTGTTTGCTTTACTTCTAAGCTCGTTCAGTGTCCAGCTTCGTAGATAAAGGGATATGTATAAGTATATGCTTTAGCATAAATTTAGATAGAGCTGGAATTAGGGCGTAACAGCTTTTGTAAACAGTGAATTCTTCCGATAATTTCTAGAAAGTTAAAACTCGCCAACGCAAATCAACATCACCATTGGGTAGGGGAAGACTTACCCTACACGACGGTTATGTTGGTTTGCGTGGTAGTGCCTTGAGTTCCTAGAAAACATCGAGAGAAATCATTGTTTACAAAGGCTGTTACGCCCTAATTTCAGCTCTAGCTAGATATTCGCTATAAAGCCAGATATTTATTTTGAATGAATCGCCTTTGTCTGTCGGCGGACAATTTATTACGACCGGATGTCAGCATCCAAATTAGCGTCGCTTTTTTGATTAATTTAATTTAATTTTATGTGTATGTATGTATTTATGTATATACAATCCAACTTCCACTGTCCGGCAGTGTTTTTGTAGAAGAAAAATGTTTGCAAAATAAACTATTATTATCTTATACCGATCCCATTGCAAACAATTTTAGCCCGGAAGTTGAGATTCAGTAACCCATTTCAGAATGCCTGGTCACTCACGTCCATTCCGAGGTTACTTTCACGTACAACAAGCCCCGCATACACGTGTACACTTCCATCATCAAAGCAATTCCTGCTTTGTAGATGGCACGTATTTAGTACGATGCATTTCATATTTTCATATCTAGTTGTAATAAGTTAGTCAGTTAGTCTCACCGCTTATGTATTGTTGAATAATCGGCATCTGTAGGGGAATACTCTTCTCTCTATCTTTCTCTATCACTTTTCGATGTTTTTCGTATCTCTTCTTGAACTTAGAATGTTTTGGCTCTTTACCGCGTTATTTAAAAAAAAAACCGTGTAAAAAAACCGCGTTATTTCGAAAATCGTCGTTAAAAACCCATGTAAAAAAGACTTCAGTGTACTGCAGAAGCATGAATTAAGTTAATGATATAATAGGTTACCTGTTATTGGAGATAATTATTGATAACATAAAATCCTATTATTATAGCGATCAATTTATTGTAATATTTTCGAATAAGTTGATACTCGGCATCCCATTCATGTTTATATGTAAAGGCGAACATCTAAATTTAACCTCCTCGTATACAAATCCACACTATATCGCTAAACACCAACCCTAGGGCAGAGCTAGGGGTACACATCTCTGGGGTATAAATTTGGAACCAGTTGCAAATTGGTTGACGTTCAAGTTTAAGATTGTTTTTTTTTAAATGTTTACAAAATAACTGTCAGTAATGTTTGTATGGATTTAGCACAGAGACTGCACGAGCGAATGAAGAACTTGCGAAGAATAAAAAAACAAATTTCCTATCTTGTCTTAGAGGAATAGCTGCTGTATTGCGTGGGCCACCAAAACCATTAAAATTCCTATAGTAGAGCAAAAGAGAGTGGCTCAATTCAACCCACTATCAAATATATAAAATACCCCCTAAAGGGACGCAGCAGCCTCTGCAAACAATGAATCCGACCGCCTATCCGGCGGCACAACCGGTAGCCCACCCCCGCACGCCAACACCACCAATCAAGAAATGACCCTAGCTGGACACAATTTCATATATTCTCGTCAATTCAAATAAACTTACTAAACATAGGAAATTAACAAAATTCAAGCGTAACTATTAGACTGATGCAAAATTTCACTTTTTCGCTCCACAGTGCTTAAATAGTTTCAAATCGGGTCCTGATTAGCCTCCCAAAGTCACAACTCATTTGGTTAGCAACAGACTTTGCACAAGCCATTTGAAGTTTACATGTAAATCACTATGGGAAATCTCAACTTTTTGTTCATTGCCTTCTAGTCTTTTTCCTTATTGAGCTGCGAAACAGTTCGATAGCCATTCTTATAGAAAATTTTCTCAGCTACAACTTTGCTGAAAATTGTTTCTATGTAAAACGAGACAGGAAAAAGTTATTAATTATTTAAGAGATTGGTAAACTTATGACATGATCAAGCAGCTGCTCTGTAGGCAACACTGTATTTTGCAGTGTGACATAGTAGCCATGATTTTTGTGTCCTATTCAACGCCCCAGAAACACCAATTTTGCCTGCGGAGCAGTTGATTGATCATGATCATAAGACATCAGCGCATTGAACCATTGATAACTTTCGATCCTTGCATTTAATCAAAAAGTGGTCTTGAGCAAAGTTGTAGCTGGAAAAATTTCCTACCAGTTCAGTTGAAAGTTTTTGAAGCAGATCGATACGGTGAATTATTAGATAGACATGAAAAAAAATCTTGGTTTTCCCATAGTAATTCCCAAACAAACTTCAAATGGTTTGTGCCATCTCAGTTTCTCACCAAATGGGTTCAAATTTTGAGAGGTTTGTCAGGATCCGATTTGGAATCGTTTAAGTATTGTGGAGTGAAAATTTCAAATTTTGCATCACTCTGGTAACTATTCAAATCAACGCATCCGCCACCCAAACAATCACCTCAATTGACGATTAAATCTTGTCTTAACCGCTAACTCACCCACGCAATCAAACACCATAATCAGGTAGGGGAGCCTCTCCCCTACTAGCTGGTGCCGTCAGCTCCCGTAAGTGAGCCAGCAGTTGCCACAATTCGTCGATTTACCACTTTGTCAAGCAGTTTTGGCGTCACTTCTACCAGCGATTTCACAAAACTGGACCAACTAATTTCTATTTTTTTGTGAAACGCCCAAATGTTGGCTACTTTTCTCGAGGTTCTAGTAGAAAAAATCTTAAAATAATGTTTCATTTCAAAGTTCGAGTGGTAGTAAACGTCATTTTATCTGCTCGAATGAAGTGGTTAATTGAAGCGATCGTCCACAAGATCAGACACGTCGACTGAAACAGTCACGATGGAGTGATGGAAAAGCTCGGGAAAATTCACTATGACTCGCGAACTTTTTCTTGGTGAACTTCGTGAAATATCACGAATCCCTTCAACACTGCGCTTGAATTAAAAAAAACATCATGTTCTTGTAAAGTAATCTGTGCACATTCAAGCACTACTTGCCAAACATTGAAATTCGATGTGCAAATCCCTTGGAAGAGATCATATCGAAGCACGATGAAATCAACAGCAAATCACTTCCTTTTAGATTGTATTGAACATCGTTGTTGATGTGCTGTACTTTGAACTCGAAATGTCAATCAAACTGATATTAACAATCTATCACTTTAAGTTTAACTAATTTATCCTTGGATTTCATGTTTGCTGAAAATGGGTTTAAATAAATATATTGTAACCGTTCTGTTACAAAGGTTCAATACAATATTTTAAATACGCACCATGTGATCGAGCATTTAAATAAATTTGTGTAACACTTGCGGTGAAACCCACTGGGCAGACGATACGGCCATGCTTAACGGCCGACTGCTGAATAAGGCGCGCATGGCCGCGGCAAAATGGTGACACGGAGTCACGGGTGATGAGCTGAAGGGTTCTGCGATGCATAGAGAACGGCCATCGTTCACTTTATCTCAGGCGAGCGTGTAGACCAGAAGTGTCTGTGGAATACATTTTAACAGAATACAGTGCGAGTAGTGAATCAAGGTGAAGTGGAAATCACCGAGGGGGGCGACTCTATTTAAGATGCAGCAAATTTATTGCTTTGCTGTTGTGAGATGCACTCGCGCTTAATATATAGAAACACGATTGATTATGATTTTGAAGATTTCCTCCAAAAAGGTGGAGAGCGATGCGAGTAGATGGATTTAGATGCAAGAGATGAAAAAATATATTTCGTAGATTGATCCGCTAGTATGAGATTTTTCGACTATTTAAAATCGAGATTTAGACGTGTCGCACCCCTCGCTTGGATAGCAGGGTTAATCGATAACTTTCCATCAGTCAAATTTTAACCAAAAGTTAAAATAATCCACCAAATGGTTCAGAGCCTTAGTCTTAGAGTTGATTTGTTTTCCGTGCTGAGCACCAATGCTACCGACGCCAGCTCCCACACCTGGACCCTACCTATCGACCCATCAACTCATGGACCGGGGACCAACGGGGACCGGGGACTTCCCTTCTGAAGGAAAACATGATCAGAGATGTTATGCCTCAGAACATCCCGACGGCGCCGACTGGGATTGAACCCAGGCCTGCTGGGGTGAGAGGTAATCACGCTTACCACTACAGCATCAGTGCCGCTCATCTAGTTAATCAATTACCGACTATACTATCCACTGCCAGACGCATATTTTTCAGCTGAATAGTTTGCCCGGTATTCGGAAGAAATTTTAAGATTTCCTACCAGGTGGAAGTTTGATGCAAAGATTTTTTCATTGAAAAATATGACCACATTAAGCATCGAACATCAACGGTTCCTAAAAATCGCTTCTTTCAAATCCCGACGCATGCGCCGTTGAAATTATACCACGCTCGCCATTTTCGTCCAGTTTATCCGTGTGTCATAGCTCGCAATTGGCTCCTGTGTGCATGCTGCACAAGGGGAGAGGAAAAAGCAGCCCGTCATCTTCATCCGAGCAGCGAAATAGAGTGTGAATTCACTTCCATCCCGAGTTCCGAACGAACAACAAGTCCCGCGCCCGTCTGTGTTCCGCGTTGCGTTAGTCCCGAAAATTGTTCGCGTCGCCAAACCCAGAGGAGAAGAATCGACCGACACAACCGGAAGGATACTCCCATTTTTGGCTCTGCCACTTTGGTTGCGGCGACACTCCGGAACGATTTCCGATTTCCAGGAAGCCTACTTTCGGGAGTTTCGTATCGGAGAAAAGTTTTCTTTTTTTTTTTTCAAGCTAGAAGAAAGAAAAATGTTCCACACCACTGCCCGTGTCCGTGTGTGAGAGTGTGGTTGTGTGTGGCTGTGCAGTGTGGTGCACACGCCTTGCTCGAGTCAAGTGAAGTGAGTGGTAACTATTTTTTTTCCGGAAAAGGGAGGGTGCAAGGTGCAAACCAACAATGTATCCGTGAAGAATAAAAAGGAAGCAAACGAAGAAGAAGAAGAAGAAGGATTACACACTGCTGTTGGGGTTTCTTTTTTTTTGTGGAAAAAGAAATAGAGAGGAAGAAATCGAGAAGAAGAATCGCAAGACGGTGTGCGAGGAAGAGGAAGAACGATGATTACGAGCAGGGGCCACTCTTCTACGACTGCCGGTGGAGGCCTGCTGCTGCTGATGTTCTACGGGATTGCGGCCCTGTCCGATCTAGTATGATGAAGGGATTTAAATGCCTTTAAATCTCTCCTCTAGAGAGATCCGCTCCTGCTCCCCAACCCCCCCAGTCCTCAGTGTCCTTGTTTCCGTTTCACATTATTTTTTGAGGTTGTTGTTATAGTGTTGTAGCTCCTGATGTTGCTGCTTTCTTTGGAATTTTTATTTTCCTTGGTCGGTCAGTAGTCGCCGTCGTCGTCGTCGTCGTCGTTCCACTCTGAATCTTTTCCGTTTTCGAATGGATTTCGAAACTGCGGTGTTGCGTGTGCCTCTCTGGGTGTATTGACGTAATGGAAACTCAAAGACGTCACAGAAGACGTGCTTGGAATAGTGTTTCGTCTTAATTTAGTTTTTTTTTAGTTGGAATTTAGCATATTATTTCAGTGCAATCTATAATTCTACACTAATTGTGTCAAGTGGAAGACATGCCATGTTAGCTTTTTTCTTCTTTCCTATGCTCTCCTCGTTGTTGTAGTTTTGGATCGAATCTTCAAGGAGAGTGATATTATTTCGGTTACTGCGAAACATGTTTGGTTTATTAATAAATTTGCAGTTTGCGAATGGCTGAGTAATATGATTCCTCTTGAGAGTATAATGGATGTAACAGTGTTGCCAGGATGTCCGTAAGTTCGTTGGAAATAGACGTCTGTATGTTTTCAAGGATATAAGACCGTTTTTGACTTATGACTGATAAAATAATGGACAGTTACTATTGAAAAATCTTGATTAACCAAAAAATTGTTTTTCCTGTTGTTATTTGCGATTTCCTCCACCGTGAAAATTTTCCTGAACAACATTTTTTTTTCAGGTTATATTATTTTATTAATTACCAAAATACTTTCCTTACCATGTAATTACATAAGTTTATTTCTACGATACTTGGTTCATTAGTTTTGAATTTACGTAAGTAAGTACACACTACGAAAAAGTCGTGTAAATTTCGGTTCCCTGACACCGACATATGTAAGCGGCGGCAGCCCTAAGTATGCACCATTAGAATTGACAAAACGATCCATAAAATATTCAAAAACGTTCCATTAAAAACATCCAAATGATCCATTAACCATCGGAGAAAATCCCTAAAAAAGTGTGGATGATCCATAAAAAATATCAATATTATCAATATTTTATGTAAAATTTAGCAATACAATTGTAAAAATGTACCTAATTTCTTGAGAAAGAGCATTGAAATTGTACGAATTACCCATAAACATATTGCAATTGATCCATAAAACATTCAGCAATGAACCTTAAACCTTAAAACCTTAAAAAAGTGATACATAAAAAATCAAGTTTGCGAATTAAAAATATAGGCATGATCCATAAATTAGACGTAAATTATTCATGTTTAGGACACTATTTTTTAAATTTTGATCCATAAACCTTGAAAAATTGCTCCACTGCATATCCCCGTATTTTAGGTAGAGGTGCGAAGCTTCCTATGGAAGTTTCATTTAGGAACTTCTGTAAGAAGCTTATTCTAGACGCTCGCCCATCGTTCCGCTCTTCTGACAAAAAAAAAACACGGGCAGAACAGTAAACCTGAGTAGCTACGCAGTCATGTAGCAATTTTCCATGGTTTATGGATCAAAATTAAAAAAAGGTCAAAAACATGAAAAACATACGTACATCCCATAGACTATAATTGGAACACACCATAATAGGAACGTCTACCAATAATTGGAACACCTTTATTTTTCTTATTTTCTTAAGAAAATTATTATAGAAGCTTCTTTTGGAAGCTAAATTCTACACGCTGGACCATTGCTCCGCACCTCTACCTAAAAAACACGGCAGGACAGTATATCTAAGTAGTTACGCAGTAATGGAGCAATTTTTCGTGGTTAATGTATCAAAATTTATAATATAGTGTCCGAAACGTGAATAATATACGTCTAATTAATGGATCATGGCTGTTCGGAATATCGCCAAGCCCAGCGACAACCTTGTGGGAGATTCGGAGAGCTACGGTAACGGTCGCTGTCAGAAATGACAGACGTCAGGTTTGGTTCAACGGAACTGTGAGTTTAACTGTGGTGCCAGATAAACAGATATGTCTGTTTTTATACAGATTTTTGAAGTCTCGTACAGACTCAATGCAGACTACAGACATTATACAGATATTTGAAACTTAATACAGATTTTGTACAGATTTTAACCAATTGGTTTCTGAAATTTAACATAAAATAAACAAATTTTTTTTGATTATGGCACTTGTTATGATTATGAACAGCTTTTTGACTTTTTTTTAAAGCAACACGTTTCTCATTTACTTTTATTTGACCTACAAGTAACCTACAATTTGTTCCTAAACGCTATATACATGATTTACACTAAGTAACTAGTAAGTAGTTCATTCTACATCGTTGGCGTGCCTAACTAAAATAATATTTGAATCCCTAAATCTTAATTCTAGCAAAATCTTTGTTGAAAAAATGACGGAAGATAACTCTCGGTTTGAAAAATCTCTCGTTCGGCCTCCTATTGCTTTTCGTGTCTTTCTCCAGCGCTTGGAATTTCTCTTGCGCCAGCGCTTTTCTCCTGCTGCAACTGGTCTAGGGATTCCTCCAGACTGACCTCATTGGTACTTCCTTTCCAGATTCGGATCCGGCATCACTCCTCGCACTATTCTTTCTGCTAGGTGGTTTCTTTGGGACATACTTCTTGGTTCCTTTTGGCACCTTCAGCATATTTTTGCACTTCGAGCACGTCTACGGAACCCTCTTTACAGCTGTTATCTTACCAGCACAACTATAATGGGTCCAGAAATCGCAGACATCACACTGGACCATATCATCAACGTGGTCATGGCCTTCATAAAGCGCACAGTTTCGATCGCTGTTCTGTTCTTCACTCAACGGTGGTGTTGATCCCTCTGACGCCTGGAGGTGAACCAGCTCAAGGCTGAAAGCCTCCCTAATAAAGATAAATAATAATAATAATCCCTCTGACATTTTGAGGTTATATCCGATGTTGTTCTTCAAGAATGTTTGGATTAATGAAAGCAACTTCCTCAGAGCAGTCTCGTTTTGGACAGCTTGAAGCTGAAATAGGTTTTATTATAAGATTGGGTTAGATTTTATATTAGCTTAATAAACCCTATTTCAGCTTCAAGCTGTCCAAAACGAGACTGCTCTGAAGAAGTTACTTTCATTAATCCGAACATGGCTGTTCACTGCTGAATGTGTTATGGATCAATTGAAATATGTTTATGGATAATTCGTAAAATTTCAATGCTCATTCTTTAGAAATTTAGCGGTACATTTTTACAATTGTGTTGCTAAATTTTACATAAAATATGGATCATATTGATATTTTTTATGGATCATTAACACTCTTTTAAGGATTTTCTCCGATGTTTTATGGATTATTTGAATGTTTTTTATGGAACGTTTTCCAATATTTTATGGATCATTTATTGGATTTTATATTCAAAAGTATGTTTGCCGTAAGCGGCCCTTTTGACGTAAGAATCAGTTGAAAGAAACGAGAAAATCAATTAAACCAAACGTCGAGTTGCTTATGTTCCGGTTTGAAAAAACTTAATTTTACATGAAATGTTTGTTTACGTTCCATGATTTACGTCTAACATGGATTACGTCTCGAGTAAAGGTAGTTATTTCTTAGTGTGCAAGTACATAATGTCCGTGGAAATTCCGAAATTATGTATTTATGTATGTATTTTTTATGTATGTGATGATGATGATGATGATGATGATGATGACGATGGTAGTAGACTAACATCTATTGTAGCAAGGCTTGACATGACTTGATCAAGATTTGATTTCTTATCATACTCATCATACTCCCGTATGCTGAGACAACTACGCGAAACCCGTGGGAGTGATAGAGAAACTCGTTCAAGAAGTAAATTCACACAACCAGAAAACAAATCCAGTCATCGTCTGGCAGAAAATCTCATTATATGGGGGAGAAGAGCCTGCCTTCTACCCACGAAATGTGATTTTTTTTCCTTCATATAATCATAATCTCTAGCTGTGGGCAAAGTTTTATAAAAGTATGGGACCCTTCGACCGAAAGCCAATAAAAAAATATCAATTTTTCTACGATATACTATTTTTTTTTTTGAAAATATGAAGGGGCCAGTTTCTTCCCGGAATTTCAATTCAACTCGATATTCTACAGAAACTAAGATTATTTTCCTTAAGGAATCATGCAAAAACATATCCAAAATGTTTTTGCTTAACGCTTCCGATTAAAATTAGAAGTATTATTTCAAACATCTTTTTTTTTGCCTTCAAAATGTAGTTTTCCCCCAAAACTGATCGCACCACTTCATCTGACACACGTAAACTGAAGTCAGCTGTTGTGATATCCTTCACTTCAAAACAAAATCGGAAGATGATGAAGAATGAAACGTTCATAGACAAAATTCATTATTTTATATTTACAATCTTAAATGTCACAAGACATATGAAATGAAATTCAAAAAATACAGTCAACTCTCCATAACTCGATATTGAAGGGACCATCAAGGTATAGAATTATAGACATATAGAATATTTTTTTTTTATGGATCCTCTATTATTTGTTACCTCTGTGGGAGCAGAGCTCTCTATTATGGCAATGTCCCAGGTCCCTGGTGTAGAGCCACGGGAACCAACGGGGTGGGCTTTCCACCAGCCTCTTTTGTTGGCTTAGCTCACGACTCTTCTCCAGGTCGTATCTCGAA